ACAGTTGTTCAAAGATTCATTTAATTTACATTGCTATTATACGCTTTCTCCTCAGGGGGCACAGCCCTAGGAATCGGAAGAAAATTGTTAACTTAAAAATAGGTCGATATGCACATCAAATTAAAGGTCTTCACTTGTAGATTACGATGCCGTAAATTCAAGCTCAAAAAATGCCTGAGTAAAAAATGGCAGTCGTTCAAAGATTCAAAATGGCGGATTCAAGAAATCTTTGAACATCTGCCATTTTGCGCAGGATCAACCTTTTGAAGTGCGGTTTGCGGCATTGTATTCTACTAAAGAAGACCTTTAATTTGATGTGCATATTGACCTATGCTTCCATTTAAGATTTTCTTCCGACTCCTTGTGGGCCGTCCCCCTGAAGAGTTATTGGATCACTGAATATGTGTTAAAATATAGTTTTATGCCCTGTAACTTTGTACCAAGTATTGTAGCTCTATCTGCATTATTTCTTTTAATATTTAACTGTCCAGGGACTTTTTTAACACCCTGTGTACTTATGGAAAAGAACACAAGCAATTCAGATCCGAAGACATATTTTCCTTACGGCTCGGGTTTAAAGGGGGCCTCACAGGACATTATTTTCGTAAACAAATTTATTTCTTCGATAAAATCTGTTTGGGGTTAAGTTTTTGAGCCGAGCCTTTATTTGTACGATCGACGAAAGCGTCTGCAAAGATTGCGTCATCGAAAATCACTATTTCACCGCGATCGCGGGAGACGATGATTATGTATTCGCAATCACAGATGTTAATTATTTTCTCCGTGAATTTAGGTGACGTACGTGATATCACAAGTGTAGCGCTATTACGCTCACGATTTCATCGCCCAGAACTTTGTTTTTCTGCGATTGCAGAATTCGTTGAAACCAATTGTAGTACAGTATAACAATTAATATGTCTATATATTAATAGGTAAGCATGTTTCTTTAAAACCTTTTTTCTTAGCTCGTGTGCATCGCAGGTAAAATCTACGCTTACTGTTTAGAAAGATATTTTCCTGTAGATGTGCAAAATTCCTTTATAAATTAAAATAGGCTAAAAAATAATCAAAAAATGAATTTAAAAATAAAAAAAATACATGGGCCTTTGGGTTGCCATGCTGGTGACGAAATAACAACATAATATAAACAGAAAATCTAAACAAATGTAAGAAATTCCAATCACATGTTTTATTTGTGGGGAGAAAATAGGGAAGTCTGTAGATTACATATTGTTGGTCGAGTTTTCGACCACTGGACGACCTCTAGTTTTGTTAATTGCTAAGCTACTTTACAATGCAATTTGAATTTGACCTGACTCCATTTGGCCCGAAGTCAAACTAGTTTTCTTCTTATTTCCATGATGGTTCATTTTCCACAGAACTTCAAACTCAGACACAACAGTCACTTAATTTATAAACATGGCGTCATCAACAGTGAACTTTGGTAACATCACTCAAACTAGTTTTCTCTACATTTCCACAGAAAACATACAGTCTTCTGTAACATTTCTAATGTAAACAACAGCCCAGTTCGGCAGCGTGATTCGCAACTGACTGCTCTTCGCTCTTCGGCTACTGTATGGCAATCCCTAAAACAATCCCTTTCAACCAATAGGACTGTTTTTCTAGCGACGCGGTGCATGACTAAATTAAATGCAAATCTACGCATTAACAGGCCCTGCGTGATTGGGAGCTCTAAGAGAGCAGTCGGTTACGCACGAACCACGTTGGGGCTGTAGGTACCGAACTGGGCTGTTGTCTACTTAGCAATGTGGAGAAAACTAGTTTGAGTGATGTTACCAAGTTCACTGTTGATGACGACAGTTTATTAATTGACTGTTTCTCTGAGTTTAAAGTTCTGTGAAGCATAATCCATCCTGAATTCAAAAATAATTTGAAGAAGATAAAGATTTGGTGTAGGATAGGACCAGGACAAAAAAAAACATGCCGGGTAAGGAAAAAGAGGACTAAGTCCTAAAACAGCCTCAGTCCAGTAGGGTTTCAGCTCTCTGGATTGGAACATCACGAAGAACGAAGAGTGAAGTCAAACATCTAGGACCAACTCATCCAAACGATATCAATTGATTGTCAAAATCATAAACCTTACTCACGAATATTCAAAGACTGAAATTGTTTGTTTTATCGATTCTCCACTAGGGGCAGGAAAGTGTTTTTGTTTTGCTCAAATTAAAGCCATACCATATTATGAAGCTTTAAGTGTGATCATCCACTTTTTTCTTTAGTTTTTACTATACTGTTAATATAAAAAATGTAATCGGGTAAAGAAGCATTACAGTCCACAATCAGAGGCTTTTTATGATAAACTATCAACTTATATTATTAGTATTGTAATTTTTAACTAATTCTGGTAACTAATATTGTTCTGTAATATTGTGTCTGTTTCTAAGTATAAAACTTAAGTTTACGAATTTAAAAAAATTACTTTTGAGTGTCGGCATTGACTATTGGATACTGATAGTCGGTGTCGGTTACGTGTTTTTCTTTTTCATAATTTATTGTAGGATTACTATCAAATGCAATAAACAACCTTTTGATAACATTTTTGACCATAACATATTTTATGCTTTGTATTTCAAACTAGCTGTAACCCGCGGGCTTTGCCCCGTTTAACTTCTTAATTTTCAAGATTATCTCGTTCGCATATAGATAGATAAAATCTATAATACGTGAAGCCGTTTTTTGTTAACGCAACTCCTCCCTTATTTGTGGACCAATTTCAACGTTTAAGGTGTCAAAAGGTTCCTCTCAATATGTAGTTTTGCAATAAGGGAATTTTAAAATTCCTACTCTTAAGGCCGTGAGACACTCTTAAAGGTCGGGGTTTCCCCATAAGAAATACATAGAACAAATTTAAGAACAAAAAACAGCTGTTTATAAAAAGAAACTCATGAGCTTTTTGGGAGTAAACATTAATGTTTGTAATATAGTAGGTTAAGTAAAGACCAAGTTAAACAGTTAATCAGTTTTGTTGGAAGAACAGAAAATGCTTCAAGTTCAAAGAAGAAATGTTGAAAACGGGAGGATGAGACAATTAATCATAAGATATCTTATGCGTATGAGGAGAGTAGAAAAAGAGAGGCCTGGTGTAACAGTAACAGATACCCATCCCGGTACACATTCACTTGGTGAGATGAATAATATTTTCCAGCTCTGCTATGCTTTTGGAAGTTACAACTTACTTTGGAAGTGAGGCAAATAATATATGCTGTTCAAAAAGAGAAAATGAAAATTGTTATCCAAATCTTATAGCTACAAGAGTTATCCAACCTATTTCGACAAATGAATCCATACTTTCAAAACTTTTGGACTATTAAGAGAAACTCCACTGAACAACGTGAGAACGTCCTGCTGCGGGGCATATATACTGTGACTATATAACAGACCACACATTAAAATACGTTAACCAACTTTCAATGGTGTTGCTGCATCAGCCTATTCAAAGCAGATTATGGATGTCCAGCTGGTAACCCAGAGTTTGTGTGTAAAAAATTAAGCACATGAAATGGTTGACACTGTATCATCCCACTTTACAGGATTCTCTACGGAGAAAATTCGTTTTATTAGGGGATGTCTCAAATCAAAGGAATAAAATTACCCAAACACAGGTTATCAGTAAGGCAACAGTTTTCTCAATGCTGGAAAAACTTTGTAGCATCATGACGTTAACTTGAATTGAAGCAGATCGTTCAGCATTCATTAGAAGTTAGTTATCAGTTAAAACTGAGAGCAGGAATATTGTATGTGAACCTTGACAACACAAATACAGATATTTAAAATTAGTTTCAAACAAGTGTTTAAACAACTCTAAGATGTAACTAGAATTACTCGAATTTAAGCATAACGTTTTCCTCGGCGTTATTTTTCATACTATGCGGCTCATTGAGCCGCACGGGTTCTCTAGTATTTTTATAATCCTTTAAACATGTTTTGGGCGTTTAATAAAATAACAATTTATAGCAATTAAATATAAATATACAAATCAGTTGACAAAACAAGAAGAAAATAGATTAATACATACCTAAGGGGAAGTTTAATTTCTGGAAATATTGTATTCCTAACTCTATTGTCTTCAATGCTATATCACTACGCAACAAGTCGACAAAACAGGAAAACTGATCTTTTTCTAAAGTATTCCTTCATTGTCTATGAGGTGCCGATTAGTAAGAATAAAGTATTAAAATTACTCCCGTGGCTCCTAGATTCAAACAGTTCACCACAAGTTTTTTTTTTACTTTTGGGTGGAAGAGCTAGGGCTATGTAGACTGGCTGGGTAACTGAGTGGTTATAGTGCTCGCCTAGTAATCAAAAGGTTGCCGGTTCGATCCTGAGAAAAGTCAGTAGCTTTTTGATGGTTCGAAACTGGACCGAGCTGTTCCTGATCATTGGGCATGAAATAAATGATCCTGACTATTGAAACCGCTGATCGTAGTAACAAAGCTACACAGGTCATCACACACCATTCTACACTCATCCTTCACTCATATTTGGGTTAAAATACGCACCTAGGTGGCGTCCCCATCTCAATGATTGATAATTGAAAATTGATAAATGATATGTCCACATCTTCATCCATCCCTTTTTGACCATCAGTATAAAAGTGAGGCACTTCTATCTCCGATCCATTACAGAACGCTACTGTGGGACCCGCAAATTTGCCAGTCATCGGCAGATTTCTTGAAAACACTTTTGCGCTGCATCTTATTTCATTCTTGCTGTTCCTGACAACGCTGCGTTCTTCAGCTTAGCGTAGCATGCAGTTTGGTTAATAAAGTTGGAAGAAAACACTAAAAGAATAGGATATTGAATTTCCAACTGTGAAACCTATTGCTGGTATTGATATTTCTAAGCAAATTTCAATGGAAACATTTGTTATTGGTACAAAAAACTCCATTACTACCATTCCACTCCTTCTAGTTATTTCCATTGTCAAGCGTTTAACGTATTTTCAACTTCAGGAAGAAGGTAAATGAAACAACGAGTGTATTTGGTCAGTTGTATTAATTAAGCACCCCACATACATCGAGAGCCAATTATGTACATAGCGGACTAAGGACACTTCAGTAGACCAATGCTACGAGTCACTGCTCGGCAACTTTTCGCACCTCCGTCTCGGGGTTAAAATTGTTTAAAGCTTTCATCGATTCAGGCAAGGCGAGAAGTCAACCGGGCAGTGAGTAAAGCAGGAATGTGAGTGATAAAATAAAACTTAAAAGTTAAAATAAGTGAGAGTTAAAAAATGAAAAGTTGTAGAAAGGTTTTATGTTCTTTCCACTCTCCAAATAAAGATTTAAACTTGTTCATTATAGGCTTGTTGTTGAGGTTTAAGGTGATCAAGTACATAAGATTAAGCAGGGTGTCTCGTAAATAAAAAATGTGTGACTTTTCAGTAACCTTTATCCATAGAGATAGGTGTGTAGTTTTTTTTATTCTACTGAATATTTCTTGAATATCAAAAACCATGAGTTAATCATTAAGTAAATGAGAAGAGTGTTTAATACACTGTGCAATTCCTTCAATTATTTTAACAAGTGGTACACATTATAAAAAGTAGCTTATGATTTAGGAGGAATGAAAATAAAATTATCCGGTTTGTTTTCTCTTTGTGACCCTGATGAAAATATATGCCTTAAAATTAAAAACAGCAACTTTTACGAGACTTCTATGAGAGTTAGACACCCTGAAATCCAACCTGAACTCGCTGCCGCTCATCTGAGCTATTATTACATGCCTATAATGAACAATGCATAGAGAAAAAAAATATAAATGTCTCACAAAACAAAGTTACATGATTTTAAATCTAAAAAGATTAAGTATTAGATACAACACAAACAAAAATGGATAAAATAGAGTGACAATAATCTAATGACAATGGAAAAGCTATCAGTTTCAAACAAAATTCCTAAATTTTCTAGTACAATATAAAATGCTGAGTGCGAATAAGCAACTTTTCAAGTTGAATATTTGGATCGAGTTAACGTTAAATACTCTTAAATAGTTAAAATGTACTCTGTAAGAGTACAATGTTTGTCATGAAATTATAAGATCGGAAAATATAAAATCACCTTGTTGCAATCACAAAACTGCTCTAGAAATTGTATAACCTATTCTTTTCACATTCAAAGAACTAGTTTAAAACAATGGTTAAAATCTTACAAACAAAACACAGGTGAAACTAAGTCTAACACATTTAATATTTGTTCTATATACTATGAGAAACTGTGTCCATCAGATTGAAATATCGGGAATATGTAAGACTTGTGAATGATGGTTCCCTGCTACATTTAATAACCTACCGTGCAAATAATAATAATATGTTTTGAAAATAAATTAAAGTTATTGCTTTGTTGGATATTATTGAAAACAGCAAAGCTTGAAAAAGTCAATAAAAAATCTAATGTACTAGTATATTATTTATGTACTGTATTATTGAAAAATGTACACCTACTTCATAACACAACCTTAATTTCGTAAACCATTATCACTTAAACTAACTTATACATTGTTATTATACAATTTAGTCTGTTAGGATAATAGAATATTATACAAACAAAAAATAATAACTTTGAAAAACCTTTGTATAATTTTAATGTATTTTTTTTAATAGAAACAAACTAGAGAATTTTTTTTTAACTTTTATATGGTAACATACACAATTGTATCATTACAATGATGATTTCGACAGAATCAATCCAATAAAAAAGATCAAAATTATCAGATCATTTGGTTTTTGCTTCTAGAGTTTTTAATTATATTTAAACTTTCAAGCTGATTCCAATTTGTTACAATGAAAAAATTCAACATCAAAACACAAAAATAGTAGGCCTCCATGCAGATAAAAAAAGTGAATCTGAAAAAAGAAGTAGTAAATAGGGAACCTCTTTTTAAGCTTTAGAGAAAAATGAAATTGGTACTAAAATTGACATAGCTGGACACAGTTTAAAGCTATAAGTGGCAATTTGTTCAGCTACCTAGCTAGACAGCTAACTACAAGCTAAAATGTTAGCTACTCTACAAGTGTACAGGCTTGTGATCAGTGCTATAATATTACTAAGAAATTGCTTCCAAACATTTATATTACAATCTGTTAGTGTTACATTTTCTAGACAAAAAGATCAAATATTCTTCAAACATTTGTTCTTAAACACCAAAACATAATTGGAAAAAAAGTATGACAAAAGATTTTAATTCAAGTCACACTTATAAAAAGAAATGCATTTTTACATTATTAAAACACTCTGTAAATACTTGTAAAATAAATAGCATTAAATTGGTCACATTTAAAAATTATTTATTAAAATAAATATATCGGATATAAGATACAATTCTGGTATAGGTATTGGACAACATTTTGTAAAATTTGAAAATATAACAAAAATATAAAATTATTTACAGAAAAGAAGTAAACATTAACAATGAGAAATAAATTTACAGAGACAAGTAAACAAAATCCTAAACACAAAAATAATAGTTTTCAAAAAATATAATTTGCATAGCAATAGTAAATAAAGTTTTGGAAGGACTGGTAACTTTGAAGTCTGTGCAAAGTAACATTTTCAATAAAATATTGATTATAACTAACAAAGATGTAATACAAAAATATATACTATATATAAGTAACTGTATTGTGCCTAAAATGTTACATCGTAAACCTACAATGATGGTCATGGTATGGGGTTACTTTAAAAAGATGGAATAACTAATAACTAAATTTAAGAGAAATACATGGGAAACACCATTTTGCATTTTGATGTTATGATACTTTTATGAATTAAATACAAATAATAACTGCTTGGATATTAATAATATACATTACTGTGAAAATTAGTTTTTAGACACAAATTTAACAAAATATCTAAATCAAATAAATGTCTTCCATTATGACCACACACTTTTACATAGTTCAATCAGCAATATTAACAAATAATGGTTTGCTATCAACTTTTTACAAATCATTCACCTTTTTTCACCGATAGTTAGACTTTGGATGGTATTAACACTAGAGTTAGTTTAACTAAGTTTACTAATCTCGACTTAATCAATGACATAATTAGTTAACTCTTCACTTCAGTTTAATTTTCTTGCTACGCCAAATAAATGCTACAAATCCAACAAACTTTGCATACAGTTTTCATTTAAATGTAGAAAAATTTTAAAGAAATATGATAAAAGACTGTAAGATTTTCATGAAACCAAAATTAAATACCAGTACAATTCGGTAGTAGATTGGCTGAAAAAACTTTGATAAGTACCAAATAAGAAGTAATAAATATAATAACTCGGTATTAAGTGGTTTTTCTTGTTTTGGGAACACTAAATACCGGTAGCTAACATGTAAAGTTCATTTTGCAAAACATGCATATCAAAACGTGAAATCTAAATGTAAAGTTTGTTCGAGTTTGAAAGTAAAGTCTACAAACAAAAATAGCAAACTAAACAAATACACTAAGCTAAGCTAAGCTAAACTACTGGCTAATCTCCCCCCTTCCCCAAAATAGGGGCTGAATTCACTCCTTTAGAGATTCCTTCAAGTCAGACAGAAAGTAGGACCGCACTAACTACCAACCGCACCACTGAAATGTTCATTCAACAATCTAACATCCCTACCATGTTGGTAACAGTGTCCAGAAATATCCGGAACATTTTATTATGTTTAGTAATGATAAAAACATAAAAAAGGAGGTTTCCTGGGATTCCCCACCATTTTTTTAGCAAGATGTTTAATCAGCTGATCATCCTTCACCTGTTTCAAAGTTAGGGTGAGGTGGAGGGGATTGAATCGCTTACCCTCAAACCGCCTACATTTTGTAAACAGATTATAAGAGAATACAAACAAGGATGTTTCTAGAACTCAGGTGGCTATGCCAGGAATAGGTTACTTTTACAAATTTTCTTGGAAGAAAAATAAATCTTAAAACGGTTTTTCAGATATGTATGCATCATACAGTTTAATTACAGTAGAATCCCTGTTAACCAAAATAAAGGGGGGAAAACTGTTTCGGATAACCAATTTTTCGGTAACCCCTCATATGCTAAAAATAACCTACCACTGTGAGTTGGAAAAATGAATTTAAAATCATATATCTACTACAGAAATTTTACAGTGGTTTAGAAAATACTTTAAACTAAACATCTGAAGTTACTAAAGCATTTTACATTACGTATTACTTATATTTTAGCCCTGTATTATCTTATGGAACCGTTTCGGTTAACCCGGGTTTCGGTTTACCCGAATTCGGTTAAAACCTGTATATAGTTTACTGTATACAGTTCTACTGTATATAGTTCTGGATAAACAAGATCTCTGAAATTCTATTGGAAAAGTATATTTCACACGGAAGAAGTTAGTTTAGCTGGACGGAAGACCCCCCAAGAAAGTATTCATGGAAGAGAATTAAGGAAGCTATAAATAGGCTAAATAATGGAAGACAGAAAGAAGGAACAAAGAGATACAGGTTTTACTTTTTATCATTTGATTAAAATTAAATAGTGTGTAAAAAAATGTCAAGTTGATGCATTTTAAAGAGGATGTTACAAGAAGAATATTTGGAGGAAAAAACTTGATTTTTTTAAATGTACATTTCAGTGGTCTCACCTTCAAAAAGCGCATCACAGTACATGAAATATTACAATAGAAACTACACAACTATTAGGCCTATAACTAATACTTTAAATTAGTGAAAGTAGTTTGTTTCCAATGGCAATATACATTAGGATTAGTCTTAAATCAATATTACTAAACAAAAAAAGGAACATAAAAATTAAAATGATTAGGTGTTAGAAAATATATTATTAAAAAATCTATTGTAATATTCCAGTATTAAAAGCAGCACATCTTGTTAAATAAAAGCTTTTCAACCAAGCAGGCACGAATAACTGCTACGACAGTGAATATACTTGGCATATAATATACAACAAACACTAACAGAAACATTAATAAACCTGTAAACAATTAAAATGAAAGCAAAAGCAGCTGCATTGCATGCAAATAAGTCGTTGACATAAGTTAACTGATTTTAAAATCTTGTTGCAAAATAAATATTTTCCTTTGTTCTATATTTAGGATACTATCATTCACAGGTTTGTTCAATAGTTTGTTATGAATCTATAATTTAACTAAATTCACTTGCTTAAAATTCAAAAAACTAATTCCTAATATCACAAACATACATAACATAGTAGTTTTGTACCATGAGAAAGTGATTAATTAAACACTTGTTCACAAATATTTAACCTTAGATTGGTAAGAGTTCGGAGGTAATGCAGTTCATATTTTTAAGTTTGGCGTAAAAGTTAGCTTGTTTTAGTTGTTCCTAAACCCCAGCAAAGTTGAGGCAGTTCGTGGGGAAAGCGCCTATTTTCGAAAAAGTCTTGAATATCTACGTATTTCACGACCAAAATTGAAATCAGTATCTTAAATCAGTATTTTAAATGTATTTTAATGTATTTTAAATCAGTGTTTTGCTACTTAAAATTTGTTACTTTCAACAAAAATTTAACACTAATTTTAATGATTAGATGGCTCAGTTTTACAAAAATTCAATTGAACATTTTTTAAAGAATTCCCCCAAACATAACCTTACTTTATACGTTTGCTGGCCTTACCAATCTAGTGTTAAGTTTTTCATCTAGTGTAATTGTTTAACAAACTCAACATCGCCAAGTCATATTAACTCTCAAATTATCAACATGTTTCTAAGAATATTCATAAACTTAGTTTTAATGGTATGCACCAATATACCCTAGATTCACCAAATGACATATCTTGGTTTACTAGAAATTAGTAAATTAACTATGTAAGTGTAAAATTAAATGACAAACACAACATTTAAATCCTTTGTCAAAGACATCAACAAACTAGCACGAATCCAGTTTGTAAAATAATAAATAATATTAGTGAAAGACCTGTTGTGTGATTTAAATACAGTTAGTGGCATGATGGCGTTTGGTAAGCGACTAACATCATCTCAGAATTTGGATTAGCAATAAAAAAAAAGGTTTAACTGTTATTATTTTGAAGTTTTATTAAATAAAATATGTGTTAAACCACACAATTAGTTAGTAATAGGATATTATTTTATTAAGATTTCACAATTGGAGAAAACGTCCCTTATGGTCAAAGTATCATAAAAAAATTGCAAATCCCAAAAAGGTTATGGACCAAGAAGTTTTATTTCCAATAACTAACAATGAAAAGTTATGAATGTTGTCATCGTCAGTTCACCGTTAGTTACTGTTAGCCAGTTTTGGAGCTTAGTTACTTCATTTTTGAAATCATATAAACTGGTCATCTTATTAGAGTCATCGCTTCAACCCTAGAGACAAAAAATAAAAACCACGGTATTATAATTGACTTCCTTCATCTAATTTTACAGTATTCTCCAATTCTTCTGGGTGGATTGTTTCTTAAATCTGGAAAAAAGGTATGAATTTGAATAACAACCTCAATTTCTAATTTCCTTAAACAAGCTAAACATATATGACTAAAAGTAATCCAAATTCTGAGTGAGGTGGTGTGAGAGGTTAGGTTAGGTTAGGTGAAGTGAAGATACAGTATGAATCTCTGGGAGGAATTCAGCCCCTTAAGACTAGACATTGACTCCGGCATCCGCAAGACAGGGGCTGTGACTCCGATGGTTGGGGTGCTCCTGTAACAATGATCAACAATAAGTAACAATAAGACAACAATATGTAAGAAGATATCAACAATCAGTAAAACATTCACATTGTAAAATTGTTACTTGAAAACGTTTCAATATATTGAGATAAGATTATCGTTCTGTACTAGGTTACATCTGCACTTCCTCTAAAGAAATTAAATAAAGGATGTTTTCCAATCAATATTCATCGATAGTATAATTGACACTAACACAATGGAATAGACAATATGATTTTATCCCTTACTAAACAGCTGATTGTTCACAATAGCAAAATTGAAAACGAAATGGTAGTTAATTTGGGAGCTTATATAATGGTGCAATATTACAAAAAATTAGGGATGGTCAAGTCTCGAAATTTCGGGAAATTTTCGGGAAATTTTAAATCTCGTTACACGAGACGAGATTTCTTTTTGGCCGAGATTTTTACCGAGACGGGAAAAAAAAAAAAATAAAAAAAAAAAAAAAAACGCCTGCAGAAAGTTAATGCAATACCCGCAATACAGGAGCGTGTTGTAGTTGCGTTTCCTTTGTGAAGGCGTTCTTATTTAATTAATTCTTTAAATGTAAATATTACTTTATTTATTTTAATATATTACTTTAATAACATTTGAGAAGTTTTTTAATGTGTAAGCAGTGTGAGAAATGTTTTATTACTATAAAAAGTCAAAACAAGTAACTATTTTAGAAAAATTATTATTATTATTATTTTATTTTATGATTTATTTTATTTTAGGATAAGTTGAACTCTATCCTAACTGATATCACTATGTTTCCTAATCGTAGGCATTTTTAATAAGTTAGGCGTGATTAATAAAAAAATGTTATGCTGATGTTTTTTAATAAAAGATTGTAAATATTCTTGCCTATTATCATTATTTTTGTATTTAAACAGTCATCTAACAATGTTACAAAATCAGGTAAAAATTTTGAACAAGCATTTCCCGTTTTGTATGAGAAGGGAAATCCCGTCTCGATCTTGTCTCGAAATTTTATGAGAAATAAAAAATCTCGTCTCGTCTCGTCTCAAACTAAAAATCCAATCTCGTCCATCCCTACAAAAAATATAGCTCACCTGGGCAAAAACTATCTTTTCAACCCTCGTCTACTTTCATTATTTGAACGTGCAAACTAACTAACTTTGATAATAGGGAAGGGGGGGGGAGTTTGCTAATCTTATAATGTTTTGGCAATCCTTTTGATATGTGTTTAGAAAAGGTTGGTCAATGTGTTAGAGACAATTTCTAACAGCATTCTACTTTAGTTCTGATTTTTTATTTTACATTACCCACCTTTTTCACCAAAATACATAAATAAGGTCAAATACATAGGATTGACAACACCAACAACCTAAATTCACCAGCGTTTTAACCTAAAAAAGAAAGCAAGTTTTTCTTTTGAACATTCTTTATTCTTTTTAACCAAACATTTGTTTGAAAAATATCCTATAAACAAATAGTACCTTCAGTTCAACATGAAATTCAGAAACAGTTTTAAACATTCACTAACACAATATAAACCCATCAACAGAGGGTGTGCAGTGCGTGCAAATGATGTGCAGAGTGCAAACAGCTGAATAAAACATACAGGGGTTGTGCAGTTACTGTGTTTAGAGGAGGTACTCTAGGTCATTGAAAGATTGCACGATATATTTTAACCGTTCTCGGGCAGTATTTTGTTATAATCATACCTGGTCCTCGGGGAAGCGGCCATACAGGCTCACAACCGCCACAAAGAACGTGACGGCCACAAAGGACGGAATAATGGCAGTACACTTGAGTAGCATCGGGTACTCCATGTAGCGTGAGTTCATCACCATGTCATCTGCAAAACGCACACATCATTAACATAAACATTTAACTACGTTTTCAAAGGAAATTATTTATTTCAACCATGTTTTCAATAATGTGTACAAAGATTTTTTCCCCAAGTGGGTCTGAACTGTGCTACCAATTCGTCAAATTAGGCTAATTTGCACTTGGCCAAACATTGACACATTGAGAAGTGTAAGATACGATTTTCATAGTTTTCAAAAGTAAAATTTGAGATAAAGGAAAATATTTGGTCTGATAGAATGAAATAGAGAATAAGCATGATGACTCAGGGGATTAAAATTCTGTATGTCATAGTGCTTTTAGCTCTAAACAAAATGGTACAACCCATGCAACAGCTATGGAGCTGTAAAAATTATGATTCAAAACAAAAGTAAATGCAACTAATGTGATTTTCCCATAAAAAAAATTAATTAACAAAAAATCTGATTCTCAAAAACGCTTGATCGATTTTGATTAAAGTTAAGGATTATATGGTTCTTATAATCTCAACCAATCCTAAACAGAATGGTGCAACCCCTATTGCTGTAAAAATTACAGTTCAAGAGTTATTGCAGCATCTGTGATTTTTCCCATACTATACTGCACTTTCTCCCACCACTTGCCCATGATAAGGGTTGTGCAAGCTAATGGGAGAAAGTATGTATCTTACTGATACTGTTTAGTATTACTGTGATAGTGGATGTGACATAAAGGATGCTATAACAAAAAGTCGTCCTTTCATTTTGGCTTGGTCGAAGTTTAGCGAATTCAACAGTAATCAGTAATTCACATCAGAACACTCTAACGGTGGCTCATTTCAGCTACAATGATTTATATTCTAACAGGATAAAACTTCAACATGGAAATTGAATGGTTAATAGTCAAAGGTATACAACTATTACTCACTCTTCCAATAAGGTTGTCCAGTAGAAGCATTAGTTTGAGATCTGGCCTCCCATGTCCACAGACTTTTGTTACCGGAGGCCAAGATGTTATCATCCAACACTGTCAAGATCTTCCTCCCTGGTTCTGAAAAGAAACACAGTAACATTCACCTTAAAATTCGACTCTATCATCGAAGTTAAAATAAAAAATGCCTAACGTCGTTACTAAACTATTTTAAAATCTTCCCAATAAACGTTGCGAGTTTTGTTGGTTTCAAAACATTGTATTGAAACGCTGTTGTAAAAGTTATGAGAGGTGAACTGAGCAGCAGACACAATGGTTTTTTAGTTCCACTCCATACTATTTTGGTGTTATTTTTCTAATTAGTCACTTAATTTTTATTACATTCTTACAAAATAATCTTGTACTTGTGCTACAGTCTTGTTGCTATACACAATTGCCGCTGGAATTAATGCTGTCACCACCCAAAATAACCCTGATATAAAATCGGTACTTAACATCATCATTTACAGATTGTGTCAGTTAAGATGGTGTGTATTGCGAGATGATGAAAGGCTCTCAACAAGTCACTGAGAGTCATACTACTAGACACTAGTGTTAATGCAATAATCCATTGGTGTTGAGATGACTGCACAAAATAACAAAGCACAGGTGGTCGGGGAAGGGTTCTTGTGTGTATGCAAATTCCGCTCCCCACTATAATTCACAGGATTCATACCACCGCAGTTGCCTCTACTTACTACTTACCACTAAAGGTATGCATACTACTTGTTGGGGAAAACTGCTCTGGGTGTAGACTTACCATAATACTGTCCGTATTTACTCGGGTAGTAGAAGATTTGATTTTTCCACATGTTCAGGTCCAGCAACATGACCATGAAAATTAACCCGTAGTTAAACCATTTGCCTGAAATCAAAATCATGGTTCAGTCATTATAGATGTGGTATTATTGAGATGAACATTATCAACACATTGTGGTGGTTATAAATTACATTTTTTAATATTAAAATGTAACTAGCGACTTCTCAGTACCACTTTTTACAAGCTAGTACCAGCACATTTTGAGACACATTACTTCAGGCTAGACCTAGCGGTTGAGGATTTGAACCCAGGACCCCTAGGACCTGAGTCCCGCCCTCTGCCACTAGACCAGCTCCCTCCACTAGAGGTAGGATTAGTACTGACCAGTGAGGTGAATCTCAGCATACTTCCACTCAAGCGTGGCGACACTGAACCCCGGTAGGTTGATGTGCAGCGTCGTGGTAAAGTGGGGAAAGTCCCAGTCCTGCATCATGATCAGTAGATCCATCACGAGGATGAAGGAAGCTAGGAAGGCCCGAGACAACTCTATAAAACACAGAGCTTGATCAGGTGCAGAAAACAGTTAGTGGTTCCTATAAAATGTAAAGTATCAAACACAGAGTATGGTTTATAGAGAATAATGATGATGTATAAGAGTACAACAGAACACAGAGTGATTGAAAGTTAAATATTCCATAGCTACAAAGTCTCCTCTAAACCAAATGTGAAATAGTTAATAGGTACGTCTTTTTGCAAATGATTTATTGTCTGATTCTCAGCCGTCGAATGCCACAAGACATGCCTTTACTCGTGCTTCCAGGAATTATACCTTCCCAACATGGTGCAAAACCGGTGTTACAAAGTCTACTCCTTAAGGAGGCTGCATACTGAGATTAGGAATATAGAGGTTATTTCTGACAAGAAAAACCATTTACAGAGATTTATCTTCATTAATTACTTATTAGCCTGAGTTGTCTGCCATGATTACCATTTTTTTTTTCAATGGCCAGGTCTATTGCATGATTATTATGCCTAACGACAATAAACAATTTGATAATTTGATTTGCAATGGTGGTTGATGGGATTTAAGACAAATTTATTCTAAAAAAACAGGAATTCTCTATATTCTCTTACAGTGTCCCAATATAACAGTTCATGGAAGCGGACATGTAACCAGTAGAGGTGTGGGCATTAGGGTAACACTGACTAAGCTGATCAACACTTTTAGCATTGACAAAAGATGAATACAAAGGTGGATTCTACGATATAAATGGACTAACCAGTGCTGGCGATGAAATCCCTGTTGAGCTTGTCCCAGCTGATAAAGTCGCTGATGATAAGAGTCACCACTATGATGGTGGCGAGCACAGAGCCTACCCAGAAGATGAGTATCCGAGGTATGTTGGATCTACGCCACAGTCTGCGCAACATTGGTGCCCAGTCCGGGTAGAGATTGTCTTGCAGCATGACGTCCGTCACCATCAGTGCTGTGATCAGGTCACCCAGCCATGTGCCACATGCTGCTGTCTTCATCACACTGGACAATATCATTGGTCAGAATAAACCTACCCACCACACTTACAAGACTATACAAGACTATAGTTTAATGATAATCAAACGATAATGATAATTCCTGACTTTCTCAAGAGAAATTACAGGACGAGATAATTTGACTCTGATCGCGCTAAATGTTCATAATTTTGACACGATCATAGGAGATGGTCATGTTTCTGTAATTCCAGAGGATGTTCAAAGGATTTCTCCATGATCGTGATATCTGCACGATTTCAGAAGTTGTCCACAATTCTTCTGGAATAGTGGGAGATGACTACGATCTTCCTAATATTATCCTTTGAGGATCCAAGCCGAACCCTAAAAGTATGTAGCCCTAGGTGTTAAGTCATTTACCTCAACAAATCTCAACAGGTGTGGACTTAAAACTTCTTTTAGTTCTGATATGTGGTTACAACATTTTTTAATTTGTTACCACTAGGTTTCATACTAATCCCTGTACAAAAGATAATATGCTGTAAAAATTGTTTTTGTTGATCTAAATAGTACTATCTTTATAGTTTTTCCATTAAACTTAGCGAGCAAGCTTTTCTACTTCTTAAGTCTCATATTAAAACTTTGTTTACAAATACTAGCAAGACATACTGCCCCATTACTCTGTTTCTTCCTGCCCTCTCTTCCAAATCATAAGAGAAAATAATTTCCAATATCATTCTATCCCGAAGTCAGAATCGTTGTGTTTTTTTATTCACCTAACTTTGAAATAACGTTTAGGAACAATTATACGAATAACAATTATAGAAGAAAATACATTTTATCTATTGAACCATGAAATTCTGTGAATTACAGAAAACAAATGCCGTTGAAACTTTTAACCAATTTTCAAAGTAGATCATAAATATTTATTACTCAATCTACTTTTTTTACTAATTACTAAACTTTAACTGGTCTGAAATTATTTTCCAAACGTTTAGTTAGCTGTTTAGCAATTGTCAAATATTTTTAGTAGTCATACCTGGCATAGGTGATGCCCATCCTGCTGTCTATGTAGTAGCTCGGTTTGTCGTAAAAGACGATCATCAGCAGATTGTACACATGAGAGAAAAGGTACAATGAGACGATCACTGTTAAGAACATCGCTATCCAAGAACCCTGGAACAAGAGTCAATCACAAGATTTATAATGTAGGAAAAAAATATCCGATTCATCACTTTTGAAATTATTTTGGTAAGTAAAATGAAATCGAAATAGTTCCTATAACAAATTTTAACTTAAAAGAACTTAAAAGTTAACTTTGATCATTACTACAAGGTTTTGGACATTTTTAAACACAATCTAAGATAATAGTCCAGTAAATCTGTCAGAAAATATGGGGTTGCTGTGCAAAAGGTCGGGTAGTTCTGATTTTTTGATATGTTGTTAGTATTGAGCCCATAACATAAAATCCAAGTTATCCACCTCGAGATGCTGCCGCTCGCCGTGGGGCGCGCCACTTGTTATCGAAATATAAAAAATATGGTAATTCCTATTGTTTTACACTCAATCTCGCGAACCGTTGATTTTACCGAAAATTTTATATTATTACATTAAAGAAGAATAAATTTGTTACAGTTTAAGCCCAACAGCAAGTATGTAGCGTAAATAATGGTCAGAATACAGACCATCAAAATAAATAAATTTTCCAAAGACGTATAAAAATTGTGGTTTTTTTCAATATTTCCACAATATAGTGGTTCGAAGCAAACACCGTATTGATTTAGAGAGTATGCCAGTTTATTTGCTATTAATAGAAAATAAATGAAAGTATGAATAAAAATACCCCCAACCTCAGCAAACCTGCAGACTAAGCGAATTTCTATTTGCTTGATTTGATTTTTACAAACATATTTAAATAACATAATGTTTAACTGGTGCCTAGGTTTGCTGCTACAGGGAGGGTAATATAGTATATAAAATAATAATACTATGATAACAAACAAATAAATTTACCCAATTTTATAAATATGTGTCTATAAATAAGGAAAAAAACAATAATTAAAAAATCTTCGCTATTGGAATAACTTGAGGTTTTTTAATATACATTTTTTAATTTTCTCCGTAACCAATAACTGTAAAACACATTTTAATGTACTAAATTATTTGTTTTTAAGCTCTACAAAATGGTTTAGAGATAGGTACATTGTAGGGGTCTGCGGTGCACCGAAAAAGTCTGTACGGTACGGTACAAGCTTAATTACCGTCATCGGTTCGGTACAGCATTTTACACGGTACAAATTCGGTTCGGTACAGCCTATTATAATAATAAATTACTTTCAGTTTACTATCGTAGTCAACGGCAGTTGGTTCCAAGCACATAAAAGTCTTATCAGATGTTTGTTTACGATCTTCATAATTTATTACTAGCGTGATGATGCAATAAAAAACCCATTAGCAGTCCCAAATCCATTAACATTTTATCATGACAATAATTGTTGTATTGAAGTACTTCCAAGAACTGTTGAGTTTTATCACTTTTATTTCTTTACGACTTTCCCAAATTCTGTTTTATCATAAAAATAATAGTTTTATGATGACTGTTAAATGTTATCTCTAACTTAATCAGTATTTTCGTGACTATTGAATTTGCCGCTGGCCATTGCCTACTGCCATAAAACTGTTTATGGCTACATATTAAACTTGTAACTAATCTACAACCTTATTTTATAAATTAAAATATTTGTTATGGATATTTTATCTGTCTATTGACGACCATGGATATATACAAACTTTTGTCGTGATTTTAATTTCAACATCAAAATACAATATTGCACAATCGTGATATTTTAGGCCATTGACCTTCATTATGCATCCGGTATTGCTGTTTCAGAAGAGAAGCACGTTGATAAATTATAAATCGATATTCCCGTAGTTAAAAAGAATTATTTTATAAACCTATAAAACAAAATCATAAAATCTTACATAAAGATAACAATAACGGAAATTGTAAAAAGGGTATAAGGCCGGGGCCACACGACGCGGATCATCCGCGCGGACGGACCACGCGGATGATCCGCGTGGTGCGACAACACATTGAATCAAATGAGAGTGGCCACACGGGGCGATCCTAAGCCGCCTGGGCGGATTGTCCGCGCCATGTCGCGGATTGTCCGCGCGATCATAAGCCGCGTTGGAGGGGATGACACATGTAGTCTTATGAGAGTGGCCACACGATACGGATTGTCCGCGCGGTTGTAGCTAATTTTCAAGCATTTTTAGTGTTTTTTTTTAGTTTGGGCTTGTGCATTTCGGTTTATAGGTGTAAAATGTTCGATACAGACAAATCAATAGAACTTGTTAAAGATAATGTGGGATTTCTCATGTTGTACATTTCTCATGAGTATATCTTCCTTAGTTATATACGGTCAAAGCAATTGAAGTAGCTCGTCAAACAATGCTATCTACATGCGATAGAAACCAAAAAGACTCCGAACTATGGTTTCGCATTTGCTCGTAAAAGGTTTGGAACACAAATGGTTTATCGGTTATGAAATGATGGACCCAATGATTTTGGTTTGCCTTAGGCTCTAGCTCACCACACGCTTCTAATGCACAAACTAACATACGTGTTTCTTCCATGACTACAACGAGAACGAGTGTATAAACCATGTTCTAAGAATCTCAGTACGTAGGCTGGGAAACCTCAACCGGAAGCGGTTCATCCGCTCCGTGTGGCCGGGACATCGTCGCGCGGCTTATGATCGTACGATCATAAGCCGCGCGGACGATCCGCCACGTGTGGCCCCGGCCTAAAGATAACAACGTCGTTATTCTTTCTCTTTGTTCTTCTATTTCTTGGGTTTCCCTTTATCACGCATTCAACAAGTTGCCATGGTTACTAATCACCCATGTCGTTATCAGCTTTTGTGACATAGCGCACAGCAGGGGGTAAAACTTGACGAAAATCGGTAGATTTTTACCTATTATTTAATTACCAATGAATGTACTACTTTATTGGTATTTGGTATTGTATTAATAATCGGTCCAAATGGCAGATTTTTGTCAAATTTTACACCAAATTTATTGAAATTTCAAGGTGAATATTAATAAAACAATTATTACCAAATATTTGTATTCATTTAAAAGATTGATTTGTGGTATTGGGTTCCCCACTGAGTGCAGCCGAGCGGCACTAATGAGGGTCGGACCTTCTTGGGGGTGAACAATAGACGGCTTATCAGACCCTCCCCTCCCCCGTGGTCTGGAGAAAGCATGTAAACAAACTATTGCACAAGCGTGACTTTGACTTGACATTGAGCTGCTTCAACTATAATTTTGTCAAATGAACTGTGATGTTTCAAAATCAAAAACAATAATTTGGGACCATACTGCTTAACAATAATGGACTGCAATTATTGTTGAACATACAATCCATTTTTAACAAACTAAGATTATATGATTAAAATACAATTATAAAAATTATCTTGGTATTTTACTTGGGGTAATGAAGTTATGTAGGCTAGTGTAATTCTCGGTTCATCAAGGTTCTACTGAATTATGTTTGGCAGTGAATAAGTGTAGAATGCAATTTATAAATTCAGGGATACACACCTTTTACACAGTTATAAAGTCTAATTGCCCAACATCAAATCTTACTCTGTGATAATCCAAATTTTAGTTTCAGAAAAAAACTTTGCAAGAATTGTATCCATCTTATAACTTAACTAGTTTTGAAGCTGATAAAAAAAAATGGTCTTTGCCATTACTTCATCATAACCTCCAGTTTTTCATTGTCATCTGCTGTGAACAGCTGGCAAAACCACACTGTCTTCTACTGAATGCTTTTATATGTTTTTAAAATAAAAAAAAAACAACAACTAGACATTGTGTTGGTTGGAAATAATTTACCAGTTTTGTGAAATTATCTTGTCAATAAATGTTTCAAACATGTTTATTCATAAAAACTCTTATCCTATTTTTAAACTACTTTATCATGGCTATTCAAAGTATCTCAGAGTAAAATAGGTAAAGCCTTTATCTCAACTGTGATTTTTCTTGACACAATCCTCGTAGTAGTAAAAGGTTTTGTTTTAATAATATGTGGTACAGTAATTGTTGTTAGAAAACCATGAATGTAGGATACTATCCATTTTCATAGTAATGTCTATGTATTAAAGTTAAAAATAATGGTTTAGATACAGTTCTGAGAAGAAAACCGCAAAAATACGGGTAGCCGCGTACCGTACCGATTTTGTACCGAGAACCGAGGTACAAAATATTGTACCGTACCGAACCGTACCGACCTTAAATTTTCTGTACCGCAGACCCCTAGTACATTGTAAAATTGTATGTTTTAAGGGTCAAAAATACGAAAAACCCGTTCTTAACAAAAAACCCCATAAAGCAACCGTTCCCATGGCCTGATCAAATCAAATCAAATCAAATCAAAATCTGTTTTATTTACAAAAATGTTTTACAAAATATACATATACAAAATACGAACAACAGTCATAGGCCGTAAAAGACCTGTGCGCGGGACGAGCTCTATTACAAATCAAATTAGAAATATTCTTAAAAATTAAAACTAAATTAATCAAAATCCTATTTACAACTAAGCTATGAGACAGCTACAGGAACAGTTAATGCTAAGTAAAAGGAAGTCGAGTGAATGGAGTTGCAGTTACTAATGTCTGTACGCTAAATATTGTTTGGTGTACTTGTGTATTTATTATTGTTATGTATTGTATACTGAACTGATCGAGCCCAATCTCCGACAGCCAACTGCTTACCGAACGTTTATAAACTGGAAGAGATAGCTGTAGATCTCTAATCTCTGATAATATATTTCTATACAAAAAATTCGCAATATAAAAAGCATTGGTAAGGTTTGCAGACTTGAAAACTCGGGGTACCTGCATACCTACATTTACAGCTTTTGTGGTGGGATAGTTATGCGTGATTGGCGTCTCTATTAAATCTTGATTGGAGTATACAAGTTGATCTTGATATACAAGTAAAGTTTTGTTTAAAAAGTTGACGCACCGAAAGTAATTGAGTGTTTTTGAACAATAAATTTGTAGGGAAACGCCTATTGAATTGAAAAGCTATTTTAATAATTAGTTTTTGTTTGACAAACAGTGGCTTTAAAATATTACTACTAGCTCCTCCCCATACTATAATTCCATATTGAAGTACCGATTGGATAAGTGCATAGTATAACATTTTTATTTCATTAATGTTAAGAATTTCGCGTACGTTTCTAAAAACATAAATTAATTTCCTAAGTTTTGTCTTATACTTCAATGATCATGCTTCGCAAACTCATTTTAATAAATGTAGGTTTACATGCCGAAAAACAGACCTTCAAAATATACCTTCAACGGCAAAACTACTCACCTCAAAGCTGTCAAATGTTTATACATAAACATTTAAGCTAAGCTTTGGGTACAATACTTTCACTTGAAAACAAAATAAAACAGTTTAACATAGTTAACAGTTTATTGAGGCTGAAAGATCAGGCAAATAAGATCTTCCAATTACAATCACTCTACAGATCTTCCATGCAGCGGGTAATTTTTCCACGCCAAGTGCGCCCATCTATACAGGACATGCTGAATATGAATTGAAATACAGGATTGATATTGAAGAACACAAACAATTCACAAAGATCGGAAATTTCACTACAAGACGTACAGACAAGCTCTGGTGTGGAATTTGGTCTGATTAGGCCATCGAACAGGCCCTCTTAAAGACAATGAAAAGCTCTGGTGGATTGACTCGGGGACGAGGGATAACAGACAAAATGTTGTAACTTGATGGGCGCTTGGGATGATCCGTCCCAATCAAATCTGTAGGAAGTTGGGAAATATTACAAAAAATGACGTCAGTTGAACATTAACAGTGAGCAAAATGTTGACGTGCGCCATTCTCGCATTGCTCGAGACAACGAAATTGATGAAAAGATTCGGCCATTTTGTAAAGCTTAAAAACAAATAATTTAGTACATTAAAATGTTTTTTACAGTTATTGGTTACGGAGAAAATTAAAAAATGTAAATTAAAAAACCTCAAGTTATTCCAATAGCGAAGATTTTTTAATTAATGTTTTTTTCCTTATTTATAGACACATTTTTATAAAATTGGGTAAATTTATTTGTTTGTTATCATACTATTATTATTTTATATACTATATTACCCTCCCTGTAGCAGCAAACCTAGGCACAAATTAAACCTAATGTTATTTAAATAGGTTTGTGAAAATCAAATCAAGCAAATGGAAATTCGCTTAGTCTACAGGTTTGCTGAGGTGGGGGTATTTTTATTCATACTTTCATTTATTTTCTGTTAATAGCAAATAAACTGGCATAGGCCTACTCTCTAAATCAATACGGTGTTTGCTTCAAAAAGTTATATTGTGGAAATATTGAAAAAAAAACAATTTTTATACGTCTTTGGAAAATTTATTTATTTTGATGGTCTGTATTTTGACCATTATTTACGCTACATACTTGCTGTTGGGCTTAAACTGTCACAAATTTATTCTTCTTTAATGTTATAATATAACATTTTCGGTAAAATCAACGGTTCGCGAGATTGAGTGAAAAACAATAGGAATTACCATATTTTTTATATTTCGATAACAAGTGGCGCGCCCCGCGGCGAGCGGCAGCATCTCGAGGTGGATAACTTGGATTTTATGTTATGGGCTCAATACTAACAACATATCAAAAAATCAGAACTACCCGACCTTTTGCATACCAAAATGTCTTATTTTACTGGACTATAAGTCAGTAAATAGCATCCTTTTATTTTTAATTACTATAAAATAACAAAGTTATTTTGAATTCTGGATACAAAAAGGAAGAATAGGTGCAGAGTTAATACATTGTACAAAATAGTTCTAGGCAGTTAAAAAATATTTATATTCAGGAGATTATAAACTTTATTTTCTCCCTCCTAGCAGGATTCTTCTGAAAAACCCCCATTTTTCTGTACTTGTGAACTTGGAGCTCTTTCCTTGGGGAAGTTCTTGTTTGTCCATGGCTTCTACTTAATGCTTCTAAAATAAGTACTTTCCCTGACAAAAAATGCAAATTCTAAATGCATTAAGAACACAGTAAATTAGTTATCCGAACCTTCAAAGACCTGTGAATTGGCTACGAGAAATTCTAAGTTTTAACTGAGGAAAAATTATTAACCTTCAATCCAAAACAGGATTCTATTTCAAAATTATTTAGTTGCCGCTGTCTGATAATACATACTAAATCTCCTAGTTATTATTTGTCTTATTTTTGTTCAAAGCTAAACAAGATCAAAGATCTATTGTGACAACAAATTAACTTACAGTAGACCCCCTTTTAACCGAACCTAACGGGACTAAACCTAGGTCGAATAACTCTAAAGGTCGGTTCAAAATGGACAATCCATAAAAACCTAAAAAAATTAAGTGCTATTCATTTGGAATTATTTAATCATTATTCTGGAGTCGCGCGTGTATTATTTACAAAATCAACTACACTTATCTACTTTTTTCTTTTAAGTATTGACGAATGACGATAGAAAAGTCACAAATAAACCCAGAACACGGTAAAGTCAAATAATTTCAGTGGAATAAATCATAGTCTTAGGCAAGAGTCAATCAAAATTCTTATTTTGAAACGTTTAGTCTTATTAAGGGGAGTCGCTACTGAAAATGACCAATTTTGTAAAAAAATATTTTTATTTTTTATTCTTCTATGTTGTATAAGGTTTCAGAAAAACACAACATATGGCATTATATATATTTTTATCGCTGTTAAAAAAATATTTGACGTGGAGCGCACGCACCTGTTTCTATAGTTACTAAGTATACTATTCCGCTGTTTTCTGCCACTTTAAGATTCTGTTTTTTTTACATATAAGTTCTTATAACTTTTTAACTATTAAAGCTATATGAATGAAATTTTTACCACACATTGCTTATCCTATAAAGCAGCTTTTTGTGAATGGATATTGTGATACCTTAAATACAAGTTCATGAACAAAATAATTAAATAGGAATTTAAAAAAAGTTATTTATGAAGAAATTAATCATAAAATAGTTGAGAAAACATTAAAACAATATGAGAGTTCACAAAAAGTTGGTACTTTTCTTGCTCTTTAAAATGGGATATTAAACAATAAAAATTTGTTTGGTAGTAAAAAAGTTATTTAAAAAAAAAAACTCCATAAACTCCAAAAAGTAGGCTACATATTTTTTACGTTAACAGTGGAAAACCTTTTTTTAAGACTGAATAGGTAAGCCTAAAAAGTATAGATTATAATTTTTAAAAGGATTTTTTTATCACTAGTTTCAGTAGCGACTCCCCTTAATTGATGCTTTCCAAAAATATCGTAATACAGTGCAGAGCTTATTGTTAAAATTAAAGATACAAGTAACCATTTCGTTATGAGACAGGATGTTTATTTATACAGTAACATCCTGCAGAGTTTAGCATATGTTCCCATCACTAAGCGTGGGAGCGGAAATGCCAAGATTTCTAGAAAGCCACGGTTAAACGGAACTGCTCTTAAAACAAGGAGCAAGGGCGGATAATCTGATTATCGGTTAATGTGAGGTCAGTTGAGAGGAGGTCTACTCAGTCTACTGTATTCATTTTTACAACCTCAGGATTCTGTGGTATGACAAACAATGGCAAAAAAAAACATCATTGACAAAAACAGTAAAGTAGGGTGCAAAGTAAAACTTATTACATCCACCAAAAACCCAAAACATTTATTGCAAGTTTTACTTCAAGCAATATCACTACATGACAAGGATTGTCTGACAAGGTATTTTTCAAATGAGGTTTATCTGAATGTACCTGTTCGTCACGGAACATCTTCAGTCTGAGTATCTTGCCACAGAGAATGTTATGGACAATCAGTTTACCAAACACCAGTCCACACAAGATGGCCGTGAGCCACATCAACACCTGGACAGAATAAAAACACATTTAGTGTCTGTAAATAATACAAACTAATTTCATTTCATTTTGAGGAAGGAAGTAATTTGTTTATTAATCTTGGCTTGATTAGAGAAAAGTTAATGGACACTTTTGGTTAAATGGTGCTTGAAACTGAACACCAGCAGTATGGATATGAATATTTTGAGATTAAAATATCTAAGACCATTTCCCAAAAAACTTATAAAAAGCAAAGTTTAGAAATAAAATGAATTAAAAAACAAATATCACATAACAATTAAACAAATCCTAATGTTTCCTTACCTTAATTAATGACCACCTCCAGTCAGGCGGGTATTTAGTCAGGACAAAACTGAACACGTTACCGACCATTGGTATCCTCGACTCTGGAAAAAACGTAACTGTGGTTTGTATTCAATGGCCAACAAACAATCCTAAACAGCCAATTTTCTTTATCCTGTAACAATGTCGTCTCGTCTATTTGACCACAGGTTGTCTGACACTTAGAATAATCTAGCTTAACACAGCAGAGAAGAAGAAGAAGTTTATCAAAATAAACTGCTTACAATCAAACAATACCAAATAAATAGCCTAACTATACAATTACAACATTTCAAGTTGGCCTAAAACTTACAATGGTCTCTCAGATCGTCTGTTGGTATACATTAAATATTATCAAGCATCTAGTTACATAATGGATTTCCAAGGAAAAATAAGTTGGATAAACATAGCGTTGCTTGTTTTTTTTACAAAAAAAAAAACAAGCAGACATTGGTGATTTTCTTTGTTTAAGCTACGCAGTATAGCACTCAGTTTTCTCTGACGACTCGATATATTCTCGATTAGATAAGAACTCGATAAGATATCTCGAGAACTCGATAAGATATCTCGACGACTTCGAGATATTCTGATTCAACTCGTACAAGCTCAAAATGTGATTAAAGCTCCAAATGTCCACTTTTCCCCAAAATTTTCTAATGATGAGCCACAACATATAGGAAGAATCCTATATTATATTTGTGTACGCATGACGATATCAATAATAATAAAACTGTATTGTTTAAAGACTGAATAAATTACTATTCAGTATTCATTCATACTCACCAGCATGACTGTGTGATATAGGATCCTCCGCAAACAGCAGAAAGTTGCAGAATATCGTAAAGTACGTAGCGAACAGTCTCAAGTACGGGTGTTGGAAGTAGTAACGGAGATCCTTCTTGTCCAGAGGGGTGGTCGGGTCAGGGGTTGGGGCCTCGGGGGGATGATGAGTCAACACTCTCTCCCTCCACTCCCTTGTCTCCTCTCGAGAGGCGATGCTACGACGTCGTTGCAGCGAAACACTCTCCTCCCAACTGCTCGGCTTCCGTTTACGTCCGTACTGTGTTTAGCAAGGTGTAAAATAAATAGATTGTATGGTGAGTGAGTCACTTAACCTAACCTAAACAAACCTAGTCTAGCCTAACCTCCTAACCTAGCCTAACCTCCTAACCTAACCTAACCTAATCAAGCAATGTTGTGGGTACAGACCCTGGTGCCTACTACTACATATTTTAACAGAACAGATCACCCTTGTACTATACTAGCTGACCCCTTGCTTTTCTGGATACGTTCCACGCACAGGCCCAAGACCTATGTGGACAGGGAAAAGCAAGGTTTAAAAAAAAGGCTGCAACCTCTTTGGAAAAAGATAAAAAATAAGGAGACCATAAATTAATGAGCTATGATTATATCCCATAAATTTAGTATGAATTTGGAACCAGCACCGTGTTCTTAACTTCCCTGACTACTATTGTCGTTGGTTCTCTGAGCAACAAGTCTTGTTTGTGGTAGCCAACAATATTATGAGAGGTAATCGACACTAGCGTCACGTATGCATTTTTCTTACCTAATTATCAGTGGTTATGATGAAACTAATCATCTCATGGGGTGTGGAATGGCTACAGCAGTTTTGGAAAAAGTAAAGAACACAATGATGGCGTCAGATTTCAGCTAGGCCTAGCTTGATTGACTGTGACAGGAGCACGTCGGAGACTCTAATTTACAGACAACCATTGTAGTTTGGAATAAATATAGCTAGTAATCTGTTGAGCACTGAAAATTTACTTACCGTGGACTGAAAGCGTGAGGTGCCAGGTCGGATGCGTCTATTGCTTAGTTCTTGAGCGCCGCCCCACACTGTCGCTAGGGAGTTGCGGCCAGCCGACAGAGGTGGGGAGTAAGTCAGAGGCTCTGGTCCTTGTAGTAGCGGCTGTAGCACTCTCAGCTCACCACCTAGGCCTAACATCACAAACATTGATGTTTCGATACTGACCGGCTACAGCTAATTTTGTATTTTAAATTAATATAGTTGAACGAGTCACTCCAAATTTTCTTTTTAATGAACTACCCATTTAACTAATGTGGTCAATATTACAGATACAACCAAAAATCCATAGAAGTTAGGTATTGACTCACAACATCTTTTCAGTGCCAAGTCAGAAATTACAAAGTGTACTTTCAGCACCCTAACCTATTAAGAATGTGCGAGAAATTAGTGAAATAGATCAGAAATATAAAGGTGAGAGCACCAGTGAATGACATTAGCTTGAGTTTCCACTTGTTTCCAACAAAGGGAAAGTAGGCTAATGAGTTACAGTAAAAAGAATAGTTTTAACACCTTGCCCATATTCTGCTGAACTTCCCAATGATAAAACTTAATGTGAGTGTTAAAAAAACACAGTTAACCACAAATAAATCATTAAACTGGTGAACCTACTAAATAACTTGTCATCTAATAAATTAACGTGACATTTAAACCTTGGTCAAATTCTGGTTGTAGTGTCCCACGTGATTTCTGATCAGGTTTTGTGCTTCCTAGATAGCACTCAATCCATCAGAAAACATCGTCATCAACATCCTTAAAGCAAAATTTATTCAATCTAGTTGACCGGCCGTTCACTGGTTAAATACCTGTGATCCAGTAAATGGCGAAATATTTTAATCTTTGTCATGATTTAGATTTTTAAAATTTGTCAAACTACATTCTCACCCTCACCCCTAGTGACAGGCTCCGGGTCTTGACTATAGAAGCGGCTGAGTTTGCCTCGGCGCGGCTGGTCTCTGAAGGAGAACCTGTGATGTTGTCGAGGGTGGAGGGGTGAAGGGGTGAGAGACGGAGGGGAGTCGGTCTGTGTGCTGTAGTCGACAGAACCAGACGACCCTGTGAGAGTGTGACAAGGCGTAGTGGTCGGTGCTAGAGGCAGACTCTGCAAACAATTATGATAGGATTTAAAGCCAAAGACTAACAAGAAAATGACTTTTTCCACAGTTACCTGACAAATTGGGCTTTCTTGTACTGATTATAGCATGCAAAGTAGCTTATTTACTTACATACATTTACTTACTTATGCCGCACTCATTTGTTTTGCCGCACTCCAGTATTCAGCCAAACAATACTAAACAATGTGCTTTTATTAGGCACGTAATCCGTGTACGTCTTAAAAACAAGTTGGCAACACTTAAAGATACTATGACTACGATCAGCTGGTGCAGTGTTTCCCATTTTGTTCAAAGCTTAGATTTAACCTAACCTAAAAAGTGTTGTTTAGTGTTTAAAAGACTAATTATTTCTATGCTTTATAGTAACTGTAGGAAAAATATAATATGTAACACGAGTGCAAAGAGCATTTGCTACCCTCGAGAAACTTTCCAGTTTCCAGCATGAGTAAACATTGCTCTCATGTGCAGCAAAGTGCTACTTTGCATACTAGTTACACAAATAACTATACAGATAAATATGGCTCCTTTTTAGGCTTAAATTTATGTTAAGACTGTAGAAGCTTCGGGTGGCCACCTGCTGACTAATGCTGTCAAATAAGTTAACAACTTAAAGTCCTGTTTGTCTAGACATACACATACAGCTAAATTCATGTATTGTTTACTACTGTAGGTTATTAATCTACACAAAATGTGGTTTTAAGAAGGTATGTACTCATTTTGTATTGACTGAAAATTCAGTCTGCTTCTAGTTCTAAAGAGTACTAAGAAGTATGTCTTACACCTAAGGAGTACAACTGTAGGCCTAGTCTAGGAGAATCAACTCAGATACCGGTAAGCATTCTACAGGGTTTCATTCTCTATAAAACTGAATTAAAAATTCAACAGAATAGTCACACTCTTCGGTTCATTTGAGGATGTGAATTGTGAGTAAGAGTGAAAATGTATGCTCAATACTGTACTGTAAGTGTCCCTATCACACAATAGTTATAGTCATAGTGAAAAAGCTGTGAGTGTGATCTAGAATCAAGAACGTATGACCAAAAGCATGAAAAGCAAACAAATTCACTACACTTTTGAATTATAATTCATTTAAATTCTAGCTCCTAAACTGTTATAATCAATGTGTTAAATAGGTTTACATATTTTTTAATCCAACAAACAGCTCATATAGGACAAGTAGGTTGTTTACATGTTTCGGCTTGTATCCGCCATTGTCAAAACATTGCAGTTGGATGAAATCATTGTCACTGTTTATTAATAAACATACACACTCACATACATGGACGAGACAAAGACATTTTACTGATGAAAAAACTACTAATCGGCCTATTACAAAATGTATGGGCAGGACACGCATCACGGTGAAGATCAGCTTCACTCAACTTAACTTTCCTGGATCCTGACCTTCACTGTGATGCGCGTCCTGCCTATACATTTTGTAATAGGCCTATTAGTAGTTTTTATTTTTTTTTCGTAAAATGTATTCGTCCCGTTCGTGTATGTGTGTACAAGCCGAAACATGTAAACAACCTACGTGTTCTATTTGATCTGTTTGTCGGATTATAAGGTATGTAACTCTATTCATCTCACAGACATTTTTAAAATACTAAACAAACAAGCAACACACCCCAGGAGGTATAGGTATCTGATGGCCGCAATTGAGTAGAAGAGAGTTGCGGTTGCTGTTCCCGGTGCTGTCGATGTACGCTACTTGCTGCGCCACTTGGCTCCAGAAGTCGGTTCCTGACATGCGCTGGCGCACACTAGGTATGCTGGCCGGGCGCTCGGTAGTCCCCTCTGCGCTTGACGTCCCCACCCCACTGAGTGACACCAACGATGTCCCCACACCGCTCGACCGACTACCAACTAACGAAGAAAGTTTGAGTTAAACGTATGCAAAATTAAATTTTCCAAAAGTATTTGATACGGTATTCTATCATTTTTTTTAACAGCTGTCTCAAGACAACTCACTGAAACATACTGAAAAAGAATTACTTCTTGAGCGACAAAGAAGAACTACTAGCAGAATCGTTATAACAAAAATTGTTTCTGTATAACTTTACCATGCTTAGGGTAGTGAAAAAAGCTATACAAGTAATGTTTAAGCATTGATAGCACAGTTTGGGGAGACAATTCAATGTTTGAAGAAAAACCTGTTAGAGAGACCCTTAGATACATTTCAAACTCATTTCCAAAGTATTGAAGATTTATACAAAATATTAATTGAACAGCAAATATGTTAGTATTTGGTATTTTATGTAACCAATATACATTTAAATACAACCAGAAGTAAAATTGATTACAATTTCCATACTTGCAGGATAATTTACGATTGACTTGTTATTACAAACAATGAGAGACTTACTGTCGCTCCCCTTGCGCAGACCGCCATTGCCCCTCTGGATTGTCTCCTCGCTGCTGGTGGTGCTGGTTTTGTCAAGACACTTGGTCACTAGGTCAACACCCGACGGAGTCCTCACACGGATAAACAGTCGGTCTCCGTCCGTAGACAGACTGCATGGTGAGAACTTCCCTTCTGAGCATAGCGCACCACTCACAGTGTTCTGCTTCCTCAAAACTTTCTCGACAAGTTTCTCTCCCGAATCTTCCGGTAGATCTGATAAAGTCTGTTGTTTCACTAACTTAGATTTGTTTTTCTTTGTGTCTGTTTTGTGCACTTGAGGAACATTAGTTTGGTTTTGGACCATTTCACGAAGATTCTTTTCTTCAACCGGGGAATCGAGGCAAGTTTCACCGACGGCGGGCTCATTCTCGTTCTCTTTCTTGATTGTTTTAAGAGGAATCGCTCCAGTGTTTTCGTCAATCGCCGGTGACTCTTTCTCCTGAATCAAGCGGGACTTGGCTTCCTCCTGCAGAATCTTCTCTTCCTGCAGATGTTCAGCTCTCCAGCCAGTGGACATCAGAGCGGCTGTCACTCTCCGACTGGCACACACCTCATCACCTCACCCACGGTCGCGTGCATGATAGACACACAGAAACTGGTGTGACTTACAAGTGTAAACTTTAGAAATAAAAACGCAACACAGTACTCACACTTCCAATAGCCTAATTTACGATTACGTCTATTAAAAAAATACTAAGAGCACCGAGTCTAACTTTCTTTGATCGTTCATAGTCTTAAGGCAAACACATGGTAGATTAAAAGTTCGAAAAGTGTAAATAAATTATCAAACAAGTGAACACTACTTTGACTCTACTTAATCACTAACACGTACGTATTCTACAGAAATATGGAAGAGTCGCATTTGATGTACACGAATGAAAATATTTTTTGATCCGTAAAAGAAGGAAGATAGGTTAGATTTCATGACATCGAGGGCGTGGTTTAGAAAAATATAGTTGTGCTTTGTGGAGAGATGGTGTCTTGGAGGGGCGGACTAGCCGATGCCGGTCGCAGAAAAGGCGGGGCGGAGAGCCGAGAGGGGCCAAGAAGTGAGAAACATCGTCACGAGTCCATGCTAGTGGCGCAACCACCGCCCGCCACAGGGGACCTCAAGAGCATAACCAGACCTGCAACACAATTATACCATTAGTAATCTGAAATCTGATCCTGTCATCAGGTGAAGAGAGTACCTAAAACATAACAATAGTAGAAACTTTATTGGGCTCTGATTCGACACAGGCTCTTAGAGAGGATGACATGTCAAAATAACAATATTCACCAACTTTTACAATAATTTTATAAATAAAATATTGACGAAAGGTCGTCGTCTGCGTGTGAGGAACCAATGATGCTGGCGACATTTTCTTTTTGTATGGCCATGGCAATTCGTTGAACTAGGTATTGTTGAACAATATTAGTATGTATAAACCCAGCCACAATTGGAACAAGATACAGTAATAGAACACGAAAAACTGGTAGTCAAAACCAGAAACAAATATTCTGGAAGTAAACAACTGTATTTCTTCATACAGTAAACCCCCTCTTAACCGACCCTAATAGGATAGGTAGCATAACTCAAAAGTTCGGTTAAAACGAGCAAACCCTAAAATCATAACATAATGAAGTGCTATTCATTTGGAATTTTATAGTAATTAATTTGAAGTCATACTTGCATTATTTATAAAATAAACTACTCTTATCTCCTTCTTTCGTATTGATGGAAAAGTCACAAATAAACACAAAACACGGTTAGGTTAAATAGGCCTAATTTCAGTGGAATATATAATATTACAGTACCAGGCAACGGTCAATACCAATTCTTATTTTAATAACTTAATTACTGTAGAAAATGACTTATTCTTAGACACATCCTGTGGAGATAAGCGTATAGTTCGGTTCTCATCGCCCAGTGTGGGAGCGGAAATGCCAAGATTCCTAGAAAGTGGCGGTTAAACCGAACTGCTCTCAAGGCAAAGTCGGTTAAAACAAACTGTAATATTTTACGATGAAATGCGGATAATCCAATTATCGGTTAATATGAGGTCGGTTAAAAGGAGGTTGACTGTATGTATGTTTGCATCTCTGTCCGACAGTTGAAGACCCTTATTTGTCAATATGTCACAAGAAAAGCAAGAGTTACATTGTTAATCGAATTTCAGTGAGTATAGCATGCAATGGTGAGATGGTATTTAGCTACCAGTATGGTCGAGGCAGAAGCCCTCTATTTCACTTCAGTCCTTTGCCCCAAAGATTGACAAATTTGCTTTATTTTCAAAATACAGCAACACCAGAACATGAAATATATTGTAGTCAGCTAAAGAAATATCTGGCTTTGTGATATTAGTTTGTGAAATATTAAAATTAGGCCTGAAATATTCTCCAAATTAGTATAATATCCAAATATCTATTAGTATAAAAGGTAAAAAAACTATTTTTGAGGTTTAAAGATAAGGCAAAGTTATAAAATATAAAAGTTAGTGTAAGAGAATTTCCTCTCTCTTTAATTTATGGTAATTTTCGCCGATTATGAGTTTAGGCTAATAAATTCATTGATGAAATGTTTCATCATGATTTGTAAAAAAGCACGAGGTGAAAACCTTGCGTATTAATAATGTCTACAACTCTTATATAATCATTACTTTACATGAATAACCGTCCTTAAAAACTATGTATTCATTTTCTTGTAAAATTTTGTACACAAATTTTTTTAAACCTTACGTGAGCGGATTTTTAAGGATGTTTAATCCAAGTAAAATTTCACATTACCAAGTGTGTTGAGGCTATCTGCAGGCATCTATTGATCCTTACTTCATAGCAAGGCCAGGTATACTTCAAAGTCTTCAAACTTTGCACTAATTTATACACTTTGACAACCATTCAACAATACTACAATTATTTATCACTAAGAGAACTATGGTTGAAAAAATTATTATATTAAAACTATTTTACCAGCGTCGGTTTTTGAAACAGAAAATCTTTGTGTGTATCGTTTAGTGCATTCTAACTTGAAAAATAATTCAAGAATAGCTTTTTAATGGAATGGCAATGGTGTGCGCTGCCAAATCTGTGGAACCTTGGCAAAATTGCCAGCAAATTTAGACTAATCTTGCAGTCTAATTAATGAACTGTTAAGACTAAAGGAGGTCTAAATGTAATACTAGGACACTAAGACTAATTTTGTAATCTACTTTTATCATGTAAATTGTTAGTTATTTTTTTAACCACTTTTTTTAAATGATTGATTATTCACACTGTTTTTCTTCAGCTTTATCCAAACTGTTATCTATGTCCAGTTACAGGAATTGCCGTAACTGATTATAAACTATTTAACAATCAATTGTTTCTAAACTTTGTTGTATTCTAGGTATGTACACTTTTCCAAATTTGTATTCAATACAGGCATTTTCACTTTCTAATTGTATGAAAATTGGCCGTGATCAAGAATTAGAGTATGACTTAATTTAGGAAAAAACTAAAATCCTATTATTTTCAAATAAAATAAAATCTTTTACACAGGAAATTTCTACACCCATAAAGGCTGAAGAGTTATCACATTTTTAATGTGTATTTTTGTAGCTATGTAATCAATTTTTTGAATGTAAGATAAAGAAATGTGTTTTTAATTTATAAATAAAAACTTATGCATAATAGTTTACAAATTATTAATGTAGGTATATATTTTTTGAAAATGACTTTTTTAATTGTTTTTTCTAGATCAATTTTAAACTAAAGCACGGGGATGAGACTTGAGGTGGTACATTACAACAATGAACATGACAGCAACATACATTTTCGTACATAATTTTTGCGGATGATAGGAGATTTTAACTTAAAACATTGTTTTGCTTCAAACTGAGTGCCGGCATAGAATACTCCTTTTATCTATGGTGCCGGGTAGAATATGACAAATGTAATAATAAAATGTGTATAATAGCTAAAAAATAATAATTATTATATTTTTTACAAATATTTTAATATTTTTAAGTTTTGTCACTTTGTACAGTGTTAAAAAGTACAATAAATTGTGGTTTGTAAATAAATTGTAGATTTATAAAATGTTGTATATGATTATCAAACTAAACCCTAATATTGTCAGGAATTTCTATATTAAGAACTAATTTTATATTCTAAGGAAAATTACCCATTTTATTCCTAAAAACTAAAAAAAATTATCAAAAATAGCTTGAATTTTTTTAAATAATTACTCTTTCCTTATTACATTTTCAAAAATTGAAGTACGGTAAACAAAATGTCCATAAAACTTTTTCTGTTAGTTAATCTTTTCTATAATTATACACAGTTGGAAAGTTTCCTGAAGATGTTCAATGTATGTTATATGAGGAGGGCAGACATCACAGAATGAAGATTGGGTTATTCCACCTGACGTTTGGACAACACAATTTCCTCGCCTCCGTTTTGCCGAGGTTTACCGCATATGTGGTTCAATTTTCTATAACTAACAATTTTCTGTAATGAAATTATTTATGCAAGCCAATTTACATGCTTTATAAATAAGCTTGGGGTTTTTTTTTTGCTAAGAACACGTTTTCAATTTTTAATCTCAATGATTATTGTTTGATTATTGGTGTTTGGATAGTTTTACGGATAGTTATTTTATAATTTTTTTTAACCTTAAGTATACAATTGAAATTAAAGAGACATTGTAACGTAATTTTTAGCTTGATAAAAACAGCTGATTTATACTTAGATTGTAAAATTAAGTTAATCAGAAAACAGCTGAATAAAGTTAAACCAGCTGACTTTTTTGCATCCAGATTTGGAATTAATAAAAGTTAACATCACTAAACTAGAATTACATTTATCATTGATACACTAGTTAACATTTAAATAATTACTACACACTCTGTAGTTAATAGTTAATAATTTATTTTTACACTAAGTTTCATTAAATCAGTTCAACCAGAAAAGAGATAGAGTAGACAAAATTTAAATAGAAACTAAAATGTAAAATAGGCTACACTAAAAAAACGCATGTATTTATAACTTATTGTAGATCACAATAATCTAAATTAATAAAAAAAATTATATAAATGAAAATGAATCCCTTTTTTTGATGGTATTCCATAACTCAGGAACAAGAGCACCGAATTAGATGATTCTTTTATTTTGCTGTGTTACTTAGTGCCAGGGGAAGGTTTTTATGTAAGGGAATTTATAATCCATCCAACTGTAATATAGTAATTTGATTTAAAAAAAAATAAATAAATGCCTTAACACTAGCATTGGAGGAAAATGTTTTCATTAAACTGTGGGATACAATAACATGTGTTAATTTTAAACCAAAAGGTGAGTAAGCATAGCGAACGATTTTCAACCAGGACCTGATTGAGCATTGCGAACGAGCTTATCTTGAAAATGAATGAGCATTTGACATAAACCATATTAGGGCAGGACGTCTGTCGGGCCAGCTAGTTAAATATAATAATAAAATAAATAAAATAAAATAATATAAAATAATTAATTAATTTTATATAAGCAGTATTGTGATGAAACTATCGGAAAAGATTATTTTATATAGTTCAACTACATGGCGCGTTTATTATACATTTCCCCATGTATACAGTGGAAGACTTTTTTACAATCGATACCTGTTTATAGATTGAAAGTTCTAAAGCATTGATTTTTAAATAATTGTAAACCGTACGTAGTCCTCAATAACATTTTTATGCCTGAAGTTCTGCCATTTAATGTCATAAAGAGTTTTATTTTAAGATTTTTAGAACTAAAATTACAAAACTTTGATAAGAATTAAATATAAATAATAATAAATAATAATAAAATTAATATGTTTTATACATTTTAAATTAATCTAGAGGTTAAAATACCTTTAATCCGTCAAAGTGATCAAACGTCACCGATGAGCGGCGACCGGTTTCAGCCCAGCTGTGGGGCCATCTTCAGGCGATGAAGGAACATAAATATCACTCCGAAGAGGTCGTCATACAGTCCATAAATACAGTCCATACTTAACCTCTAGATTAATTTAAATTTGTGATCAGGAGGCAAAAAACAACAGAAATGAAATTTTAAATTAGGTTATTCTAATCATAAAATAGAATTTCCTAACACTAGGTTGACACAGAAGCCCCCTCTAGTCCCTGTAGCA